GGGGGGGGAGAACGAGGAAAAAAGAGGGTCAAGAAAGTTTTCTTTTCAGGAATTATTGCTCTAAACAGGTTCTAATTCATCCTATGAATAGTCGAAGCAGTTAGTGGAAGTACTGAAACACGCATACCGATCTTTCAGTGCTAGCTTTCATAGTTTCGTAGAAAATTAACTTTGTACAAGTTGAGGTAGATGATGAAAATATTATCATATTTATCTGTATATCGCTATTCTCTGCATATATTTTTTTATTTTTTGTATTATTCCTCTTTTCGTCTTTCCACCGCTAATAGTCCGGACAACTTCTTTTTTGGCTGCTGTGACCAGAGCTACATCATTTGATCTGATGATCCTGCCTGCCATAGTCCTAAGCATCCTTTTCGAGGGAAATTCGAGTTGATCAAATAGGGAAGGCTAGAAAGGGCCATGGAGGCTCAACCAAGAAGTAATCATTTCAAATAGGAATGTTTGCGTTGTGCTGGACGAGGTGTTGTGCTGGAGGGGGACCATTCTATGTGTTAAGACTTGCAAATCAATGTATGTCCTTCCTGGCAGTCGATGTTTTTTGCGATATTATTATGAGGTTGCATTCATGTAGTTCCCTTTCGAAAAACTCATGTTTAGGTTATTTTTTTTTTGTAAAATTTATCTCCGTATCACCTCTTCATTTGTTATTTGCCGTTCTTGAACCATAATTTGCTACATTTTTTAGTTATCGTTATTATTTTGAAAAAAAAGTGTTTGATTTCTTAGTTTTGTTCCTGGCAAGTTGGATTAATAACCACAACGTCTCTGCGCAAAAAGTTTCGGCCGCGAATTCATTTGCAACTTCCACTTGGTCATTATTCGATTTTAGAAATATAAGCTGTAAACTCGAAATTTGTAGATGATCTTCACTGTGCTATGTGTGTGAGAATTTCTGAAAACAATTTCTAGAAGTATCACCGGCTTGGTAGTATTCCAGAAGCGAATAGTCTGAAGTTTTTGGCATTTTTAGTTCCACATTTCGAGGAATTTGCCGTTTTTCGTCGATATTCATTCATTCAGAATACCGGGGCAAACATATTGTGCGTTTTGTGCTGTGTAACAGCATTAT